TTTAAAACAAGTAATGCACATAGTGTTGAATTTGAGGGGATTTTCTGGGAGATAGAGCAAGGTGTTAATGCCTTTTGCCTGGAGGACTCTACATATCACCTATTGAATGTCTTTTGATCTACTGGGTTTTTAATTCAGCTCAACCAACACCGTCTTTAGGATACGCCACAACCTTCTCTGACTAGCAAAAAATATTGTACCTGTCAGTTGGGAATCTGTTACGGATAGTTTGGCTCTAGCCTTTCAAAAGTTGAAATTTACTGTCTTGCTCAGCTGAACACATTCAGTATTGGATTGTTGATTTAATTTATTTATGTACAATTTCAATTTTATAGCTGTGCTAAATATCGTGTCTTGATCATGCATTCTCACCTCCTACTGAAAAATAAGTTTAAATACAAAAGGATTTTGATTAACAATAAAAGGAAGGTAGGATATTTACCTCTACGGAAAGTGCAGCAGTCTTCTAAGTTGTTGGTTTGACATAAAACAAACTTCCAGTGGGGTTATGATGAGAAAACAAAGTCCCAAATACTTTGTTTGTGAGCATATATTACTTACACAATTTGAAAAACAATATTCTGCATTGTGAACTGTTCTCCTTTATAGAACGTGGCCTCCTTTTGCTCTGACGCAGAAAGTAAATTGATGAATTTGCTACGAAGAAATCTGTCGCTTACGCCCAATTTGACTAAAAGATGTGGCTTGGAATACCCCTCTCCTTCCTGCAACTCGGGTCTCTATGCAGAGGATAAAAGTTTGGTAAGATTCTGGTAATTAACATTGTGTTTATACTGACAGCACACACAGTAAGGATATAAGCAAGTTGTATGCTGATAGCTGTGGTGAATGGTCTCACTTCTCAGTCCACTCCATATGTTCTCTTCAAGGCAATGCAAGCTGATTAGAAGACCTCTCTGTGTGTGGATTTAGGATTGTTCCCCAGGAGGAACTGTGAGACTATTCTTCCTCCAGGCAGTACATGAAAACCTCCCCTTGTGGCTTGTGTTTCTACACAAATAAATAATATTCTGAATTTCATATGAGTAAAATGAATCATCCTTCCCCTATAGATGATTTATTGCTTCCTTGGTCCCCTTATCTGAGATGGATGTCACTGGAAGGAAAAATCTTGATCTGTAAATTTTTCTTTCATAGCATTCTGCAGTTCCTACCTTTGCTCAGAGAATTTACCTCCTGGTCTTGTTTTCCTAGGTATTGTTCCCTATTTCCAGGATTTAAAAGGGAAGAGGTATCACCTAGTAAATGTTTACATTCTATAGCAGTCTTGGCAAAAATTGAATTAAATAGTACCCACGTCTCCCACGAAGGCTGCTGGTGGCAAGTTGTTCCTGATGTGGAGTACTGACTGCAGTCAGAACAAAATTTTTTCCTGCCACTAGTTGCGAGGGAGGTGGAAACACCTCAATTCCTGGAGACTAAATTTAAGCCTGTAGGGCATCCTTTTCCTTTTCAGAGAGAGTGCTGATATTTATTTCTGAAGGTTTCGTTTATATCCATTTATTAAATGTACTGACCAAGTTAAAAGAAATGAGACATGAAAGGAGTCCCTGAGTTAAGCATGTGTTTGAATGATTTGCTGTGCAGCACCTATCTTATGTGCATTGTTATCTTCAAGTTTTTTGCTCTATGTTCTATCCCTTTTTCCTTCAGTGTTTTTGTTGTTGTTGTTGTTTTTCCCTATGTAACAACCTGTTGAGGATATATCCAATGCAGTAGAAGACATAACACCTTTTTGAGTGCTTTGGTTTCTTACTACCTGGCACAGAAAAATTCCCATACATTTTGCTTAGACCTCAGAAACAGAATGTAAATGTGCTGCCTTAATGTACATGTAAACAGTGATTTATCAGGCATCAATATTGGAAAGAATAATATCAGTCACCATCAGAAGATACCAAACTAAAGTTAAGTTGAACATGAATGATGACATAGGTTTTTTTTTTTTCCAGTACCAGTTTTTTTTTTCCTGTTTATGGAAGTAATAGAGGAAGCTAATGAAACAGGACATTCTATTCAACATATAAAACTTATCTCTTTTTAACTAGATCTCTTCTAAGATTGAAATAAAGCATCCAAGCCCTTTGTCAACTAGCACACCGAATATGAAACTTGTCAGACAAGGGTCAGCAAAAACACCTTCATCTTCTACAGTTAATGAAGACCATCCCAAAAACAGCAAAAAGAGAAAAGCTATGGACTTCCTCAGTTGCATACCTGCCCCTCCACCACTGACACCAATGTGTTCAATCATTTCTCCATCCTTAAAAAAAGCATTTCAGCCTCCACGAAGTTTGAGTTTACCGCGTAGCAAGTCCTCAAAAGAAACAAATCAGAATATTGGTCATGCCACCCCCTGTAGAAGATTGAGAGAAACTGTCCATCTTCATGAGAACGACCTGGTTGCCGATGAAGAACTTGCAATGATTAATACACAAGCACTCATGAATAATTTACCAGAAGAAAAGAAGATTGATTATGTAAATGAAAACAGCAGTACAATAGCTACAAATTTATCTGATGATCTGACTATCTGACCCAAAAATAGTTCCAGGTCTGCTGGGAAAGCAAATAACTCATCAAAAAGCAGTTCTGAAGTAGCTGAGGCTCTTCAGAAAGATACAAAGGAGCCTGAGGACTCGCTACCAGCCTGCAGAATGCTGCAAAGACAAAGCCCCCGAAAATGCTACTAAATGCACATGTACAGTATTGTATATATTTCAAATTCAAATTATTTTTACACTTTGTACATTAAATCCTGATTGTATTTAATAAAGCTGTAATACAAAAACAAGGACTCATGAAATGATGTTTCATCTGCAAAATAATTTGGAGTTCAATAATTATACATTTCTCACACAAACACATATTGCACAATAGCATTGGTGTGGCTGCAGGTTTGATGACATTTTATAGGCCATTGTTTTATTCTGATCTGTTCTTAAATTACTGCAGGATCTTTGTTTCAATCTAAAGCAATCAGTTTTGTTACTCTCTGTAGTATTAGAAGAGTTGTTGAGCTGTCAGAAGTAGCATAGAGCAAAATAAAGAATTCTAATTTTATTGTTACCAAACATAACATTTTAGTTCTGCAATATTCTGCCACAGTTCTTGTACTTTTCTGCTCAAACTTTCCGTGTAGGGCTAAAGAACAGCTCTGATGATTTGATTCTTAGTAAAATGCCACACAAAGGTATTAATGATAGATCCTTGGTCAGTGTTGCTGAGCTGCTGCTCAAAGAAGCACTTGAGGCCACAGCATCACGAAAAATAATCAGATCTTTCTTTGATTTCATCACTAGATCTTTCTGCTGGGGGTGAGTTAGTACTTGAATTCATTACTTCGTTCTCATTAACTTCAGCAGGTGAAGCTTCTCAGAACTGGAGTTTCTCCACTGGAGAGAGAAACAGTCCTGCTCGACCAGCTGCCCCTTGCGCTGCTGCTTCCCACCAGGCATGGGTCAAAGGAGGGAGAATGTTTCAGAGCTGAGACCACCAGCTTCCCACTTGGCAACCCTTCAAGGGTCCTGTGCCAGTCACGTGGCTCAAGTGCTGAACTGGAGGTGGCTCCTGTGACCAAGCTGGACATTTAGCAGGACTGGAGAACTGTACTGGGCTGACACAAGCTTGCTGATAGCTCTAAACCTTTGTGCAGTACTGCAGAGCCAGGTTCCTTAGGGCCCTAGTTCACAATTATTTGTCATGATGATAATTCTTCTTCAAATGCAGCTTGAGTAGAAAATGCAGTTCATCTCGTACATCTCCTGAAGACATCTTGATCTGCCCAGAAGCAGCCTGTTTCTTTATACCTCTTATAATGCTTTCTCTGCTGAATTGCTAGATGAATACCAGCTGTACCCATATTTCTTAATGTCCAATGTGAGCCGTCTTCATCTCCTACTGCAAAATAACTCAACTCCTGTCTTCTTCTATAAGCACTGTCTAGTAATCCACACTTACTTAAAAAAAATTACTGTCACAAATGCTGAGTTTTTAAAATGTTTGATGAGGCTTCTTGATGAGGACATAATCAGCAGAATTTAATGATCTGGATGGAACTACTGCAGGAGAGGTTCTTTTCTCACCCATTGGTGGCTTCTCAGCACTTAGTGATGGAAGGGGGTGATTTCTCCCCTTACAAGAACTTTTTTTTTTTCCTTTCTCCTGAAGTCATTATTTTGTATTTCTGAGTTAGTCTGGGTATTTGGTAGCCTTGTGCTTCAGCTATTCCGAGCTGCTCCTGTAGCCCTGTTCCTACTTAGAAGTTAATAAGCAGTAGCCTAACACTAATGTTTCCTTTTAGGAGCCTCCATATATGGACTCAGCTCAGGATCAGTTGAACTCCTATGTCTTGGCACAGTTTGGTGTGTTTTGCCTCCAGGCTGTAGCAGCTGTTTGGCTGTGACAGAGCTGAGGTAAGACCAGCATGAATCCAGACAGCAGAGCTGTGGATAGAGAAGAGCATCACATCTTGCTACAATCTGTTACAGCTATGTTTTCCACCAGTCACTTTGCGTCTCTAAAAGTTGCAGTAATGCTGTAGGCAAGATGGAGTGGGAAGATACGAAAGGCATCCAGCCAGATACAAAGTATTAAAATGGCAAGAAATTACAAGTGCATGGAGAAGGAATTGGCCACATGGCCTGTAAGAAAGAATTCAGAAATGTCTATTGTCCTCTATTAGTGTCAGAGTGTGATGCACGGAAAACAAACCCAAAAAGCACATGGCATCAGCCAGTAAATTTCACCATAAGCTTGAATGGCTTTTTGTGGAGGAAGAGGCATGAGAGGGAGTTCAGTTTGTACTGGAGACAGTAGGTCGGTCATGATCATAATCCAGTGACATTTGAAGATTTGTAAGAAATAGAATTTAGAAATGTAGTAGAAAAATACAAGAATAAAAAACGGTTTAGAATAAAAAAAGTAAAACTAGAGACTTTTGTACCCTGATAACTAAAATACACCGAGGAATCCACCTCTTAGTTAAAACGCATGTTGTTGGTACGTGCCACGTGAGGTCTTCTGCTTGAGAAGGCTGGAGGCGGGTTGGAACGGGTGCCCACGCTGTAAGCTGCATTCGGTCTACTGGAGCTTCTCTCATCTCTGCTTGGTTTTTCCGAGTGAAGAACGCTGTGGAAGGTAACATTGTGCTCGTATTGTTCTTTCATCTGTTGTATCTTTTCTCGAGGGACATGGTGAATATTTCTTCTGTAGAGTCAACATTAACAGAAAATACAAGTATTTAGCTGCCAATGTATTAGATTGCGAAGGTTCCTGGTATGTTCAAGATAATGGTTCATGTCCCCACTGATCCATTTCTAGCCCCTTTTTGCCAAATTGTTCCTCACTTCCACCTACTTAAAAATACTTTTGTGACTGCTGAAAAATGTAAATGCCAGTATTTTCGTGGGCAACTGGGACATAAGAAGTTAGGCATGCTTGGGAGTGAAAGAGCTATGTAGAAGATCTGTGCATTATTATATAGGTTTTGGTGCTAATGGCTTGTTAGCCTCAGGGTGAGCTTTTGTAACTTCGGAGAAACACAGACAAGGGCTGTGGGTAGCCCAGACACTGACTCGTGATCAACAAGGGTAGAGGTCAAAGCCTGTTGTTGCTTTGTCTGAGTGCCAGTGGGGAAAAAATATCACACCTGATCACACGCTCCAGGGCAGGTTTGTAAATGATGGTAAGTCTGAGAAGGAGAGAAGCAATGCTCCAATGTGCTGGGCTTTCTGGACTGACCAGAGACAGCTGCAGTCTCTCAACACATTAGTGGGAACAGTTTTTCTGAAGACCACCAGGGATTTCTGCTTGTCTGTGAGTTTGCAAACTCTGAGTATCTGTGGTTTTGTCAGTTAGCTCTGTTTGGCATAATTCATCATCTAGAATCTGAGTTTGTCCTGCATCTGCATTTTCAAAGCCTTGTGGTGTGCAAATCCTGCATGGCTCAACATGTTTTTCCCTGGTGAAATTAAGGTGACAGTAACACAGCAGGCCCCTGGCTGCAGCATCCTGCTTGTGAAGGGGGCACGGCGTCCTCCAGCAGCCTGTGCCTGGGACCAGCAACCGGCACAAACCCTATTGCCAGGAAAGACACAATGTGGAACCAGCCTGGAGGCACCAGCCTTCAGCTGTCCCTGAATCATTTGCCAAAGAGCTGCTTCAAACAGTGTATTTGAATTAGCTTTACAGGGCTACTGTAAAAAGCCGACTTGTTTCAAAGGGTTAATAAATCAAAACACAAGTCACCGAGTAGCTCAGCCTACACTGATTACTGGTGAAACCTGCCTCTGCAGTGATGCCCTACAAGTGGCTCCCAGATGGTGCTGGGGAAGGAAGAGCTGACACTTGTGGTTGTCAAAGGAGGTGATTCTGCCCTCTATTCTGCTCTTGTGAGACCCCACCTGGAATATTGCGTTCAGCTCTAGAGTTCCCAGCACAAGAAGGACATGGAGCTACTGGAGCGGGTCCAGAGGAGGGCCACAAAGATGATCCCAGGACTGGAGCACCACTGCTATGAAGACAGGCTGAGAGAGCTGGGGTTGTTAGCAGCTGGGGCTGCTAAGGCTGTTGGTGTCCTCGCTTATCTTCAGCCCCAAGCTATCTGCTGCCATCTGCCATGTCCTGCCTCGCCCTGGAGCCACAAGCACTCTGGGCCACAGCCCTCTGTCATGCACAAAAAGGAGCTGTGCTGACATTTGACGAGAGTTCCCAGCTTGTACAAAGCAAATCAATTGGAACAAAGTACCCATGCCGTGCTTCCTTGTGATAACAAGTAAATCAGCACGTGTTACCTTCAGGATCAAGTAGACAGGTGTGCACTTGCCCCTGTAACAGTGTCTACAGCTGGTTGGTTAAAGGCTAGAAAATTACCCTGCATGGAGGTTTTTTGTGATTCAACAATTAACCATGTAGCCACTAGCCAAATATCCTACTTAGAGCCATATTTGGCTGCCTCTATATCCTCCCACATTATGCAGAGTTGATACAGTCATTTTGTGTGTGTGTGTGTGTGTGTGTGTGTGTAAGATCCTCTAGCACCTCAGTTCTAGACCACGGTATCCCTTTTGTGTGTGTGTGTGTGTGTTAAGACCTTTAGGAAGATCCTCTAGCACCTCAGTTCTAGACCACGCTTAGTGTAGCATCCCACCATGCTACGCAAGACAATCTTTGTTATCGGTAGGTGTTTTAAGGACAGAAGTCTGAATTTTGCCTGTAGTGCTTAGATGTAGTTTTGTGCCCAAACATTGAGAGTGTTGCTCAAAACACAGAATGAAAATCAGGATTCCTGCCCCAAGAAGCTTGCAGTGTAAATCCATGCTTCAGAGAGGCTGCTTTTTCTACTGCCTGACTCACATCAGCATGGCCAGGCTCTTCCAGGGCTGAAATCCCTGCAGATCAGGTACTGAGTAACAGAAATTACCCACAACAATCTTTCTGTTGTCATTTACTAGGTTACTTTTTAGGGTGTATGAAGAAGGCTGATCTTCCTCAGAGCTCATGAATAAAATGAGAAGCTGTCTGCTATGTCAAAGAGAAAAAAGTTGTACCTTGCCAGTTCTCGAACATTGAACTTCCAGGGTGTATCCGGTTCTTGAAATATAACTTCGTATCTATTTTCACGTGCCTGAAGAAGGACACAGAAGGCTTAGATGTATGGCTGCCGAGCTTAGGAAGAGCCCATCTGCCAGACCCCCCTGAGATTTTACCTGGCCAAGAGATGTATCATATGTATCAGGAGCCAGAAAGAGAAAGATAACCATGACTCCCATCAAGGCGCTGGTCTGAACCCCAGCTAGTTCATTTCCCTTCTACATCAAAGAATTTGGGTCTCCCAACAATATCTGGTCAGCATTGCCCTCAGACCTCATCCCCCATGGCAACAGCATCCTTGCACTTGAACTCTCTGGAAGTCACAGGTGGTTCAAGAACTGAAGTAATGCAATGTGTGCTGGCAGCCCAGAAAGCCAACCATATCCTGGGCTGCATCAAAAGGAGCGTGACCAGCAGGTCAAGGGAGGTGATTCTGCCCCTCTACTCTGCTCTTGTGAGACCCCACCTGGAATACTGTGTTCAGCTCTGGAGTCCACAACACAAGAAGAAAATGGAGCTGCTGGAGCGGGTCCAGAGGAGGGCCACAAAGATGATCCGAGGGCTGGAGCGCCTCTCCTATGAAGACAGGCTGAGAAAGTTGGGGCTGTTCAGCCTGGAGAAGAGAAGGCTCCGAGGTGATCTTATTGCAGCCTTCCAGTACTTAAAGGGGGCCTACAGGAAAGCTGGAGAGGGACTTTTGACAAGGGCGTGTAGTGATAGGACAAGGGGCAATGGATTTAAACTGAAAGAGGGCAGATTTAGGTTAGATATAAGGAAGAGATTTTTCACTCTGAGGGTGGTGAGGCACTGGAACAGGTTGCCCAGAGGAGTTGTGGATGCCCCATCCCTGGAAGTGTTCAAGACCAGGTTGGACGAGGCTTTGAGCAACCTCGTATAGTGGAGGGTGTCCCTGCCCATGGCAGGGGAGTTGGAACTAGATGATCTTTGAGGTCCCTTCCAACCCAAACCATTCTATGATTCTATGAACTACAGGTTGGCCACACTAGTCTGGAGCTTCTGGGAGTGTGAGGTTAACATCTTATCAGCCATGCTATTTGCAGCCACTGAGTCTACAGGCCTCCATTTTTTTTCAAGGTAAAGCAACATATTTGTGTGTGTATCATAGAATCATAGAATCATAGAATCGTTAGGGCTGGAAGGGACCTTCAAAGGTCATCTAGTCCAACCCCCCTGCAAGGAACAGGGATATCTCCAACTAGATCAGGTTGCTCAGGGCCTCGTCCAACCTGGCCTTGAACGTCTCCAGGGATGGAGCATCCACCACCTCTCTGGGCAACCTGTTCCAGTGTTCTACAACTCTCATGGTAAAAAATTTTTTCCTAATATCCAACCTGAATCTACCTCCCTCTATTTTAAAACCATTACCCCTTGTCCTATCACAACTGGCCCTCCTGAACAGCCTCTCCCCATCTTTCCTGTAGGCCCCCTTGAGGTACTGGAAGACTGCTATAAGGTCACCCCGGAGCCTCCTCTTCTCCAGGCTGAACAGCCCTAACTCTTTCAGCCTGTCCTCATAGGAAAGGTGCTCCAGCCCTCTTATCATCTTCGTGGCCCTCCTCTGGACCCTCTCCAACTGGTCCATGTCCTTCTTATGTTGGGGGCTCCAGAACTGGACGCAGTACTCCAGGTGAGGTCTCACGAGGGCAGAGTAGAGGGGGAGAATCACCTCCCTCGACCTGCTGGCCACGCTCCTCTTGATGCAGCCCAGGATGCGGTTGGCCTTCTGGGCCGCAAGAGCACATTGCCGGCTCATATTGAGCTTCTCGTCCACCAGTACTCCCAAGCCCTTCTCCTCAGGGCTGCTCTCGATAATGTGTGTGTACACACACACACATAAATACACATATACCTGTACGTGTATATCTATTTAATACAATTATCGATTGCTTTTGTTTCAATTTGGGTGAAAGGAGGCAGAGAAATCTGTTGACCTTTTCACATCTTGCTCATCTCTGTAGTCTCTCACTTGCCTCCCAGTCACCTACAGCATTTACAACTGCCGCTGGAGTGCCATGTCCAGCCTTTCCAGCACCACTATTAATTTCTGACTCTTTTCCAGCACCACTATTAATTCCTGCCTCTTTTGTGCTTCCACACAAACAATAATCAGATGCAAATTTTTTAACTGTCAAGACCATAACCTAAGAACAGAAGCAGACAGGCCACATTATGAAACTGTTCTAAAAATACTGTCATCTCTGCCAGAACTTCTGAGAAGAGACACAAAGGCATCTCTGAAGACTCTTTATGGTGTATTTTCCACAAGTCATAAAATAAAATTTTAAGTCATATCTTGACATACTTGTCAACGAATAGTTTGGGAACTGTTCAATTCATGTCACTACTGAGGAAGGAGATGAAATCCTGATTGCCAAGAAGAAAGAGGGCAAGTTCAAAGACACCTAATCTTTTCAAGTAATTTTGCCTTCACTGAGGCTTATAGCCGACTAGACAAAACAACTACACTGGCACCTCTTCCCCTGCTTACTCACAGTATTAATCATTAACTATAATTAGAGAACTAAGGGCAAATGAAAATAATTATTTTTAGCCATGTTACGAACTGTTTCAGTTAGATCATCTCTTAAAAAAATGACATAGCTGAGCACAGAAAAGCAATAAATCAGAGTTTTCCCTACCATGATCACGTATGGCTTCATTTCCCAAGCATGGATGTTGGTGTTATCAATAATAACTGGGCTTTTCCCATTCTTCATTGCCTTACGTGCTGCAATGTAACACATTAAGTAAAGCTGACATGTATTAAATAACAGACTGAGTCAGGTCTTACTAGCCCCAAAGCGTCCTTTCTTTGCTCTCTGCTAGCACACTTGGTTCCCCACCAGACATGGGTTTTTGGCTACCACCTGAATGCAAGCAGAGGTCAGTGCCCAGCAGGTGCTCCACTGGAGGAGGTGATGCAGCTGCTGCTGTGCTCAGTAGGAAGATGTGAACCTCTCGTAGAACATACTTAGCAGTATCATGGCACCAGGTATTTACAACAGCTAAAAATGACTGTTATGTGCAAAGGATCCCCGTTACATGATCTCAGTGTTCTCCAGTGCTAGAAATACATTCAGTGCACAGCCACAAAAGGATGTTACCTTCTTCTCCCTGAAGTAAAGACCTGGGTTTTTTCGTTCTCAAACTTATAAGTAGGTTTGCAAGTTTTCCTCCTGGCTGTCACTAACTCCCCCTTGTAACACCCACTTCCAAGTCAGAACAGACCTTTAAGAAGCGTCTGAAGGACGCAGTGCATGCAGCTGCAGTGAGCAGCTGCTGGGCTGGTATTTGCATGCCACCCACTGTTACCAAGTTTTAGCAGTGCTACCTAATAGTCACCATTTTACTTTCTAAAATAACATCTATCAATCACCACCACCATTTTTTCATTTATAAATTTCTCTCTTACGAGTCAGAACTTAGTGCATACTGCAGTGTATGACACCACTTGGAGACATTTTATTCTGGGGGCTAAGTTTCAAGACAGACTGAAAAGCAAAACTATTCTGCAAAACCCCTGGATTGAGTTCAGTTACCTCTCTTTTGGTTCCATTTGTGTGCATCCTCTAGGAAGTCAGGCTCAAACACATATACACCATTTTCGATAAAGAAGTCATCAGTACTAAGAACTACAGCGCTGGGATAGTCACGTTTCAGTTGTCTGGGGAAAAAAAAAAGAGATGAAAGGATTAGTATATGCTAACACATGCCTTTAATAGAGACCATTAAATCAAGAGTCGTATGAATGCTCTACAAATATGCACAGTGCTTCATTTGAAAAATCCCAGCTTAAAGGATCTGAAAGTAATATAACCACTAGATGCCCACGGAGGGTGGATGCATGTCCTGCCATAAGGTGACCAGCCAGTGACTGGCTCTAGGAGGTGGAAGTGCTGGCTTACATGGTGGTTTGAATACGAAGCACTCCTCTGCTAGTCCTTAGAGAACCTAAAAAAAAAAAATCTTCATGCAAAATTGTGTTCCCATTTTTGTGTAATCCAGACTTATTAGTGTCCATAGACTGAATTGTCTATTTTTTTTCAATCAAGGGAACGTCGTAGGGGGCAGGGAATCTCTGCAACAAGTCAGGGAGAGCCCATGGCCCAAAACGTCTCTGGGAAAGAAAGTAAGGCCAATCCAGAAACCTGGTGGCTCTCAGACATGAATGCCACTGCCCTGCTATCTCACACCACACATGGTCTCCAGTCCCTGGGACTCATTTCAACTTGTCTGATAAAACACTTCTCTTCCATCGCCATATGCTGCAAAACAACTATTTCTCAACGTCTTATCTAACTGAGCAAGAGCAAGGGAAAAGGTGCCTCTAGGTTATCGGCAAAAAAACGGACACACAGGAAGAAAAGGCTTAATTCTGTCCTCTCTAGCTCTTCCCTAACCATTTACATACCATTTTCACCCTAATCTGTCTGCTAGCAGCAATTCTTCACTAGGATTGTATGTTGCATTTAGCTGAATCAAGGTCAGCTTCTGACTTTGTTCCGCCTCCACTGTAACTTCTACCATCTGCTGATTAATTAATATTATTTCGCGTTAGCAGCCTCCCCAGAGAGCAGAGGCTCACTGCTGATGGACTGGCCAGGGCCATCGTCACAGTGCTGGGCTGTAGCCACTACGTGACATATCATTTGGCACCTACACGTCATTACCTTCTCGCTCCAAAGAGATGTTTTATTCACGTCATTACTACTGGGCAAACAGATCTAACAAAAGTCATGTTGCAAACTTCTAGCAAAAAAAAAAAAAAAATTTTTTTGCTTTAATTTTAGGCCCAGGTAAAGAATTCCTATCATGAAAAGTATGGGAGCACCTAATGCTCATCTGGTTACCGTTGTGCTGATGAAGCGATAGATTCAGCTCCCACTGTAATTCAGCACCTCGCCTCTGCCGCTGCTTTACCCGGCTCTCCGCAATCTCTCCTCTAAAACACTGACTCTGCTAAAACATGCCACCCCTTTAACTACTAACATGCACATAAAATTGTACACATTAATACAAGATCTCAAGATTACTTTTTTCTTGCTCAATGTTTCCTTTAAATACTCTCAATCGATGCTAATTCTAAAAATTATTTTCTTAGTGTTTAGCTCACTACGTTTTTAACACATATATGCGCACTTGCATGAGAGCTTTGACATTAACCCTTTAAGCAATCTAAGTAGTATGTGATTATCTGTAAACTCAGCCTACTGTCCTCTTATCACTGGTAATTAGAGCAGATAAAACTTGTGCTTCAAAGATGTGAAAATATGGCACAATGTGCTAAGAACTATGATTTACTGTCACATTTGCTATTCATACAAAACAAACTCCTACTAACAGCAACATAAGAAAACGTTAAGTAGGGAAAAAGAAGATGTTTTACCTTCTGCCTATTTTGCTGATTTTAACTTTCAGCTTTCTAAAACAACCACGCTGACACTAAAGTTTACAGCTGTTTTCTGTAATCCCCTATTGTCCGTGAAGCTGAAAAAAATCCTGTTTCTTCTGTCTATTAGAATTTCAAAGAACACCCAAACCTCTTCAGTATGTTCCTTGAGAAATAAGCCTTCTACGATCTACACAGGACCACAAGTTGGTTTAGAAGAAAGGTTTTACATAATCATACCAGGCTCCTAATCACTGTAAGCAATAAAAATGCCTATATTTTAGCAAAATATACACCAGCTATGGAAAATGGGAGGACTTGTGACCAGAGTTATTAACTAATAAATTTTGAGCAGCACTGTAAAAAGAAAATTACCCCTTCCTGTTAGATCCATATGCCTAAAGCATAGTAAAGAGGAAAAGAAAAATGAAATCTCTTTGGAAAATCAAAGGGTACATATGAGCTACGTTTGCTTGTTTAAAAAAAGCCACTGAACTTCACGTGCTGCACTGTGATAAGCAGGATCTGTCAAAGGTTCAGTATGAGTTTGCCTACTTGGGACGTTTAATTGCACAGTGCTACAGCTCTCTAACTGGCAGTAGATAGATACAAAATACAGTATACTCTGTGTCTTGATAAAGTAAAGTTTGGTGCTGTTCAGAGAATAGGAAGGGTAAGGAAATAAGAAGAAAAAGGGGGATGTTTCCTCTGCTTGCAATAAATCTCCCCAAATCCTTTTTTCCTCCTTCCCCAAGGCAAAGCAGCTTTCCACCTTAGATACCATAGCTCATTGGACCAGTTGATACAGGGGAAAAAAAAGCTTTCAGATGCTTCTGCTCTTCTTCAGATCCGACACAACAGCAGCAAACCTCATGTGTCCGCCAGCGGGGCCTGGGAACTGACAAAGCCCCCAGAAACATCAAGCTGGGCAGAGGAGCAGCGTCGATGTCTGCCCACGCCAATCCCACCGGCAGCCCGGGTAGCAAGGACGCTCCCGAACGACGTGGTGTCTTGGCTAGTGTCGGTGCATGCTCGTCTGCTCTCACCCTGGTCAAGTGTACGATGGCTGCTGAGATTAAAAAAAGGAGAATCTTTCTGTTGAAAATACAACTGTGTTTCTGTGTGACCACAGTAGATTGTAACAGCCACCTCGGTGAACAGATGGGTGGGTTTAGCATCCCTTGTGTTCTTCATCTGAGGATCTGTTCCTGTGATTTATACGGGTTTTAAGTCCCCTTTTTTCTAAATAGCATCTTCAGTGCTTTCAAACATTCATTTCGGATTTTAACTGTATATATAGACAACAAAATAATTACTCAGGTTTTCAACTAACTGGATGCATTAGAGTACTTGGGAAAAGTCTCCATGATCACTATCATTGGAAATTAAAAAAAAATCTGTAACTATATTTCATAGGCGGCCACATTTTTCCATAAGAAAATTTGTAAATAAATTAATTTCTGATCAGAGCCTGGTAAGCAGAGTGGAGGGAACATTTTCAGTGCTCAGAAGGCAACGGAGCAGTACGTCAGGCAGATCTCAGAGCCGGTAAATTCTCAAGCTACTTCCAACGTTAACGGAGGTCAGAACATGTACACACTGATGTCACATGCAACCACTCGCTCTGGTCGCTATTCCTAACACTAAGCGTTCCTGTGGCATTTAAAAGCCTTTACTTTCAGCAGAAACTCGGAACTATGAGATGTGGAGCGCACGCCCAGCACTACCAGCTGACTGCTGCGTTGTAACAGCTTCTCGTGCCCTGAGGACTTTGGCCCGGTGGGAGCCTGCCAGCTCATGGCCGCGTTGTTGGCAGAGCCCGGACGCGCCTTTGTGTCGCACCCGCGGGGTGAGAGCAGCGGCTGCAGTTTGTAAAGCAAGAGGCTGCACGTCGTATTTGATAAACGCATTCGGGAGAACCACCTGAAGCATCTTTATGCAAAGGGAAACGATGATGTGTTGCCACCTGGAAGCAGGAGCTGCAGAGCGGAGAAGCCAAGTCCATGAGCCCTGTCTGAGCAGGAAGGCTTTAGTGGGGTGGGATGGCTGGGAGCAGCAGTGAGGCTGGCAGTGCCAGGACAAACGGGGAAAATACAACAGAGAGAGCCGGAGAAGACATGGATGACACCAAGCAGTAATGCCTCAGTGCCACTGCATATTCTCCCTTCTGTTCTGGAAGATGCCTCACTCTGGAAGCTTCATACAGGCACAGAAGAACAAACCCATTTCAAGTGATAAATCGACAGGAGTGGCTGCAAAGTTATGTGTTTGATCATGCCCAGCCTAGCGCTTGAGCAAAACTGCTCGATAGAGGGTTCCATGTTACTCGTTGCGCATCGCAGCAATAAATTGTACATATTGTAGAAGAGCTGGAAATACAGCTACTGCGCAATAAGGAGTCTGCTGGGGAAGCAGGTATGAGCTTGCATGTGGCTCATTTGATTTTTGGAAGCATTTTTGGAAGCTATACCCACTCCTGCACCTGATGTTACAGGTGATAAAACAGCTAAAACTGTTTTCTTAAGAGTTGCCTCGGTCTGTTCGTGAAATCTGTACTGCAAAGTCAGGGTGAACGTGTTCAGAAAGGTTACACCCACCTGATGGAGGCTATTGGAAATGGAACTCCTGGCTACCTCTCTTCTGCTACGCGCTTCTGCTGGTGGTGACGTACAGTGAACAGTTAGAGGGAGCCGGTTTGGGTCACCTGAAATGTGTGGTTCAGGGAAGCATGTTCTCAACAGCGAAGCAATGGGAAAGGTTTGAAGCTTGGTGATGAGCAGACCACAACTCCTTGTTCCACCTTGACTATTCAATATAACACAGGTGGATCCTTCTCTGTCTTTTAACAGAAACTGAAAACCAGACGGGCACCGATCTGTGCCAACGTTGTGCTGCTCTGAGCTGGGGAGTGCCTGGGATGGGGAAATCATTGTAGCAAAGATGCTGTAATTAAATCTTCAAAAGCTGTATCCAAATGGTGCTGAGTGACACTGAAGGCTCAGGGAAACGAGTCGTGGACCCAAGTTTGTTCCTAGGATTGTGTGACGAACTGAAAAGGGTTCTTTCTGCCGGGGCTATCACTGAGTTGCGATATCACCAGTGATAACATTCGCAAACACTTCTGAGCACTGTGAAGATGTACAAGTTGTAAGAGAAACACTGATTGATACGAAGAATGAAGGAATGGAGGTGTGTGTGAAAGCACCAGAAGAAACAACACAGCAAAGGCAAAGAAGTCGCCTAAGATTCATGGTGTACCAAGTAAGCAACATTTG